TTGATTTTCTTATTAATAAAAAAATTCTTTTAAAACTTATAGGAAGGGGTAGAACAGGAAGAAGGGTATATATTACTCCTATTTTGAACATAAAAAAGTTATAATACTTTTAGGGCTACATTTAATCATATTTGGAGCTAATAGCCCAAACAATTACCAATATTGGTTCATATTTTCACTGAACATATTTAATATTAGTCGGTGTAGGGGTGCGTTTTCAGTAGTAGACTAGTAGTGGGCATACTTCTATTCGAAAATTGGACGGTCCGAAATACTCCGATAACAACGGTTCGAAACGGTGTGTGCAAAACAAAACAAGAGAATACTCCCTCCATATTTAAAAGTTTGTTATACTTTCTTTCGTAAGTTATTCTTTTAAAAATATTCAATTATTTTTATTTTTTCTACTTTTTATCTCATCTTTTCTACTTTTTCAAATTTTCTCGTACTTTTTTTACACTATTCATTACCCCTACTATTTCCTCCTTAATTATTGTGCCAAAATCTAGTGTAGTGATCTTTTTAAATACGGAGGGAGTAATAAATTAAAGTCTTCATATTACTCTTTCCGTTCCACTAAAATTGTCCCATTTTTTTTTTTGAAAATTTTACTAAGATTGTTTTAAATCAAATTTGGTAAAGTTTGTGTAATTCTAAATCATTTTTACTGTATTCTTACTTTATCAATTCAATAGAAACCGCATAATCTCACATGTCACTTCCTCTTGTCCCAATGTTAATGGGACGGAGGTCATGGTAGCGTTTTTCAATATACATGCTCCAAAAATTAACATTACCAAAATCAATAAGGGTTAATAACTAGCAATTGATTTATGAAGAAAAAATGGCATGCATATTATATCTATACTTTTGAAAGATATAAATATAACTATTTTTTCCTTCTAAATAATATGACTAACTTTTATCTTATGAATTTAACTTGCAATATCATTTACAGTGTTCTATCCCTTAGAGCATCTCAAATTGGACATTATAGAGAGATGCATAAAAAATAATTCAATGACATTTCTTTATGTTTAATTTCTTCTCACGGTTTTATATGTTTTGGTAACTTTTTTAATCAACAATGTAAGCTACGATGTCGACATCTAGACATTCTTCTTAACACTGTGGATTACCAATAACATATACAACCGTTCTTATACCATGTGCATCGTGCACATTGTGGAATTCATGATACATTTACAATTTCTACTACTAATGAAATTTTGATTATTCAACCCTGTAATTTAAGAGACCATTTAGTAACACTTAAATTGCCAGGATCGTGAAATTATATTTGTGAAAAAAAATGAATTACAGAATTGTGAAAAAATTATATTTAAAAATATGTTTCCCGAATGAAATAAAAAAATGAAAATAGCTAAAATTATCATTTTCATCAATTTTGTCATTTCAGTTAAAAACTGATGTAAACCTTATGTATTTGGATTATTACAGAATTCAACGTACAAAATAAAAAATTCGAAGAAAAAATTGGTTGATAAAATAAATAAACTGAACAAAATAGTTACAATGGGCTAGATTTATATACGGAGTATCTATTATAGGAGAACTGATCTGCTCAAGCGCTCCTGACCAGATGTCCCGCACGGCCAAGCCCATTTGAGGGTCTTCTGGATTAAAATATTTGATCAATTTTATTGAGCATGTTCTTTATGAAACCTATATTATGTTCACAAAATTTCGGCTTAAAATTCAATCAGAATATCAATTAAATAAATTAGTTACAAACACTGCGCTTTATATATATATATATATATATATATATATATATATATATATATATATATAAAGCACATTATTTTTGAATAATTTATTTAACTGGTTTCACGATTGAATTTTGAGCTAAATTTTTATGGAAATAATCTATATTATATGGAGAACATGTTCACAAAATTTCAAATTAAAAAAAGGGAGAGTTCCCGAAATAGGACTAAAACAGTTTGAAAATTCCAAAATAGGACTGCCAAGTTTTATATTCCCAAAATAGGAGTAATTACGGCCATGTTTGGAAAATACTGCCATTTTAGAAGTCTGGTACTGCCAAAACATGACAGTAATTAGTCCTATTTTGGGAATAAAAACATGACAGTCCTATTTTAGAATTTTCAAAAATTTTTAGTCCTATTTTAAGTAATATCTCTTAAAAAAAGGGAAAACTGTCAAATAGGTCCTCGAACTTTCATAAAAAAGTCGATTAAGTCCTTCTATAGGAGACTCTGTCCAGTCTTCGCGATTTAGGGCGGTTCCCGGTGGAATTTTTTGATGAAAAATTTTGAGCATCTTATTCATCAAGTCTAGTTTACTCATACCAATTTTCAGCTAAAAATTTAATCGGTAGCGTATTCAAATTAATTCGAGAACGCAAAAATGCGCAGTTATCTTCAATAATTAATTTGAATGTGTTCCCGATTGAATTTTTAGCTGAAATTTGGTATGAATAAACTAGACTTAGTGAATAAGATGCTCAAAAAATTTAATCAAAAAATTCAATCGGGAACTGCCCCAAATCGCGACGGCCGTACAGAACCTCCTATAGAAGGACTTAATTGACCTTTTTATGAAAGTTCGAGGACCTATTTCACAGTTTTCTCCTTAAAAAAATTCAATAAAGACGTTCAAACGAGCTTGCCCCGACCAAAGATTCCATCAGTCCGGAGTGGTGACGCAAGTTTTCTTTGTGGTGTACTAGTAACGGAGTATTATCAATGATGACAGAGACACATCCATAATAGAGGCACATGATATGCACAAACAATTTAGGGAATACCGAAAAACAATTTAGGGAATACCGATTTATGAAAAAGGCGAAGCAAATAAAGAGCTTAGACTATTCTTTCCGATTATAGCAGTCACATCAGAGTACTAATGATACTGCGTACGAGTATTTTTTTAGTACAAATTTATTTAAAATATGAAAAATTATATAAAATATTTTTTATTAAAAATACTTTCATAAAATTTAAACTCTACAAATGTACATAAATGTAATATGTATCTAAAATCATTACTCCTTCCGTCCCGTTATGATTATCCCATTTTAATTTTTCGGTCCGTCTCACTAAGATTGTCTCATACCTTATTTGGTAAAATTTGTGTTGGTCTAAATCATTCTTACTTTATCAATTCAATATCTACCACATAAACCAACTTTTATTAATAAATGTGTCACCTTCTCTTGTCCCAAACTTAGGGGGACGGAAGTAGTATTATTTTCATGATCAAGAAAAGTTTTATGGGATACAGGGATAACAACCCGGTGCGGTATATTTGAAGATCTAGAGGCGGAGAAATAAAATGGTCCTAATCATAAAAAAATTGTAAAACTTTTTATTATCTAAAATAACATGCACAATAATAATAATAACCATTCAAATAATAATAATATTTGAAAAATTTATAAAAAAATTGTAAAACCGTCTTCTTCTTCTTTTAACGGAAGAAAAGAGATTGTATTAATGAAATAAAAAGTACAGATACAAGATAAGATAAGGAAAACGAAAAAGGAAATAAAGAAAATAACAAGAATGTAATTAGCCCAATCCAAACTACATTATAAACCCCCATCAAATTTTTTAACCTATTCTAACTAAACCAATAACGTATTGGTGGTCCTTATTTAGGAAGAAAACAAGGTCACATTTGTACGCTTTACCAATGTTTTAGAAGCTGTTCTCTTCACCTGAACTGAATGTTTATGATATGATTGTTTTAAGTTCTGATCCGATATGAATTTTTTCAATCTGATCTGATTTGAATTTTTCTGATATGATCTGATAAGATCTGATCTGATCTGAATCTTTTTTTATCTGATATGATTTGAATATTTCTATAATTATGATTATAAATAATAATAATAATAATTATAATAATAATAATAATTATAATCATAATTATAAAAATAATAATTAAAATTAAAATATAATAATTAGAAATAATTACATAAATATGACCAAAATAAATAGGGAAAATGGAAACTAATAATCCAACCTTTTAGCGGTCTTCTTTCAATAATCCCACCTTTTGATTATTCATGAATAATCCGACCTTTGCACCTCATCTTCATTCATTGGTCCCTGGTCGGTTAATGACCTACTATTCCAAGTTATTTTCTTATCTTTCCAAAATATTATCTTTGTGAAAGATGAGATTTATGGTATAATGATTTGCAAAGATAAGAAAATAGCTTGGAATAGCAGGTCATCAACCGGTCAGGGACCAGTGAATGAAGATGAGGTGCAAAGGTTGGATTATTCATGAATAATCAAAAGGTGGGATTATTGAAAGAAGACCGCTAAAAGGTTGGATTATTAGTTTCCATTTTCCCAAATAAATATGGTTTACAAAAATATGACTAGTTACTAGAATAGTAACAAAATCACAGTAATTCACGTTCAAGTTTTGAACTTAAGTTACCACAACACTACGTTATAGTAATGAATACTCATATTTATGTAAATACGTTTTATTTTAGTAATACTCTTGTAAAAAACTCTAATAATTATACCTATTAGAGTAATTATAATTATAATTTCCATCATTTGCAATGGAGCCAAAGATTCATTATTTTTTTGGCTTGAGAATATGATGGAATAAAGCAAAATGACTCACTAAACTGTCTGCACTTCTTTGTTATGAAGCAGCAGTCAGTCCATGCAATTTTGGACGCGATTTTCACTATGGGTCATCCGGAAACAGTCTCTCTGTGCTTTAGTACAGGGGTAAGACTGCGTACATCCGACCCCCCTTACCCCACCGTAGGTGGGAGCCTTTGTGGCACTGAGGTAAATAAAAATGAAAATGAAAGAGTAATTATAATTATAGCTATAATTATAATTGTAGTTATGTTTTTAATTATAATATTTCTATAATTATAGTTTTAATTATAATATTTATTTCTATAATATTTATTACTCACACTTATTATAAGAAATAAATTTCAGCCCTAATTTTTTTCCTTTGTTTTTTGGGGCCAAGGGCCGTTGCCCCTTTGCCCTCCTCAGGGCCGCCCCTGACAGCAACAAGTATATAAAGCCTACGCAGTCATTACGGGAGAAGCAAGAGCAAAACAAGGGAAGAAATGGGAGGAAAAGGGCAACATATTATCTTGCTTCCATTGCCTTTACAAGGCCATATCAACCCAATGCTTCAATTCTCCAAACGTTTGGCGTCAAAGGGTGTGCGGGTCACCATCCTGGCGCCGGCGTTTCTCCAAAATTCGTTGCAGTCAAACTCCGGCGACGGCTTGATCCGTCTGGAGCCAATTCCGGAGAGCTATAAGCCACCCGACAGCATTGATGACTACCTCGAATGGTTCGAAACCAAGGTTACGCAGAGTTTCAGCAATGTCATCGAGAAACTTAGTGTTGCCGGCGCCGGGTGCCCGCCGGCGAAGGTCGTCGTTTACGACTCAATCTTGCCGTGGGCTCAAGACTTGGCCCGGAAAAACAACCTGCAAGGCGCTGTGTTTTTTACCCAATCGTGCGCTGTCTGCGGGCTATACTACCTCGTGTACAGCGGAAGGCTCCCTGTTCTGGCGGAGAATTCCTCCGGCGTCTCACTGCCGGCAGCCTTCCCGGAGATGGGAACTCGAGACTTCCCATCATTAATGATGGAGAATGGTGCTCAAGCATATCCCTGTCTTTCGAAAATGATCGTCATCCAGAGTGTTAATATTCAAAAAGCTGATTGGGTGCTATTTAATAGCTTTGACAGTTTGGAGAAGGAGGTAAACTTGTCATTTCCATACTCTTGTCCCCTGTAGATACTAAATACGATAGTAAATAAATAAATAAGAGGGCTGTTTTTCATTGGATTTATTTTAGTTTTAAAATATATTAAATTTGATAAAATCAAATCGGGTCAAATTTAAACAAATCAAATCGGGTAAAATTTAAACAAATCAAATCTAGCTGATAAGATTAGATTTTAACAGATTGGACCAAATCAGACTTTGACAATTGTAAAATACGTATGTACGACATAGTAGTCAAATACTACATCAAACCAGTTCAATTCAGACCAAACAAGACTTAAAGTATAAAACTCTTTTTATGATCAGAAGATGTTATAAACAATACATCTTATGAAGTAGGCATTTAAAAAAATATTGAAATAGAATTTATTTATGAAATTGTAATTAAAGTTATTATGATTATAATGTCAAGGTTATTTAACTATAATATAAAAATTTATCATAAATCACCATGATTAAACTTATTATTATAGTCATTATACTACGTATTTAAGAGATCACACTTTTATAAATAACTTTTATTTAGTTATATATTTGTAATTATTTCGCTTTCTATTATCATATCCTGAGTACTACGTATATGTTTCACTTTTCTACTATAATGATGAACTTTTAACAAAAGGTAGTTTAGTCATCACATTTTTATGTGTTTTTAGGTATTAATTGAAGTGTAGTTGTATATGTGTTTTATTTTTTAATTAACTAAATACAGTATATTGATATTGCATTAGATTGACATCTATCAACCACCTTGTCGGTGTATTCATATTTATTATCATACACTGACAATAAACATAATTCTTATTTTGTCACATATATGCATATACAAACCGTGTTTGTTGTACAAATATTTGTACGATACATCTTTACGCTATTTATATTGCATTTTAACATTCAAAGTGATGCATATTATTATTATTCTACAATGAACAAGCAATTCCACATTAACGCTCAAATGAAAGTAGTTCTCCATCCACCAACTTGATTTTATTACTAAAATGCCAAGCAATTCCACATTAACGCTCAAATGAAAGTAGTTCTCCATCCACCAACTTGATTTTATTACTAAAATGCCACTGTGCATCTATAGTCTTTAGATCAACTCACGACTCATCTAATTACCAATATGTGTGTGTGTAGAGGGTTCTAATGAGAACCCCTCTTAATATAAGAACCTTTTTTAAAACAAAAACTTCTGATCTCCATCATTCAATTTTGCAATCAATGACTAATAATGAGAAGATGACATTTTTTTAATTGTTCAGGATGAATTGCAAAAAGGCACCATTTGAATTTAGGTTAATTATGAATGCGACCCCATGTGAATCATAACCAATGATTGCAATAAATGAAAGATAGAGATTAAAAGTTCTCATTTTAAAGAGTTCTCATTTTAGATGGTCAAACAACTAAATTACCATACATCTTCTGACAACTCGCCAATTTATTCTGGTAGTCAAACGCGCTAAATGGATCTGCTATTGTCAACCCGCTAATATAACCCGCTATCCGCTAATCGCTGAATGCCAAACACGCCCTTAATGAAGAAGATGCTAAAAAAATTTCATCAAAAACTTCCACCGGGAACCGCCCCAAATGGCAACAGCCGACTAGGGCCTCCTACATAAGGGTGATTTGCACTTTTTAAGTTAGCTCAAGAGCCTATTTAACCCTTTAGCCTTTAATCTTTAATAACTTAGATCCAATCATGATCAATCATAGATAGAATTGAAAACAATGAATCATGAAACTCCGAGATTTGAACACTCACCTTCAAATTCAACATCATAAATTCAAAATCCATTCATGCTCAAACATTTCTACATTGTGACTCTAGAATGAGGCAAAAAAGATTAAAAACCTCCCACATCTATTGTTTTATATAGTAAAACTGAGTTATAAATAGCTCACATGTCATTTTCTTATTGGTTAACAAGAATTGTATTAACAGTATTATATTAAAGCATTAAAAGTGACGGAAAATCGGAAATCTCGTGCGAATCAATATTAGAATGGGCGTGTTTGGCATTCACCGGTTAGCGGATATCGGATTATGTTAGCGGCTTTAGTCAGCGGGTTCGACTAGCGGAATAAATTGACGGGTTATTAGAAGATGTTAGAAGATGTTTGGTAATTTAGCTGTTTGGCCATAGAATTAGTATCAAACGCCATTTTTCAAAACGCCAACCCAAAACTCTCCTATTAGCAGCATTTTCACTTCAGCGTTTTCGTCCAAAATGCTCGTGGCAAACCGCTATTTACCAAACAACATTGTCACTTATTGAAAACGCCAAAAGTGGTCAAACCGCCATTTTTCGGCTAAAACGCCGTTTACCAAACACCCCCAGTATCAAACTATTAAAATAGGGCCTCTACACATTAGTGGGACTCTATAGTAACACAAACATTACAATTAAATCAACTCCACATGAACTAAAACACGATCAATTAAGGACTCAAATGAACTAATGCACATATCAATTGGTTACCATGTTTTTTGGGTTACCAACCTTATCATCCAATTTTTTTACCGTACACGTAATCTTTGGTTTCACGCATTGAATTACGTAATAATTGAAATAAATAAGGTTGAAATTACTTTTCTGACTGAATTGTCTGAAGTTACTATAGATGACCATTTTATCTATTTTTTCATGTAATTTTCTCTTTATTTAATAAATATAATGTATTTTTTTCATAAATCAGTGGAAATAGTCAATCCTGCCACTTTAGCAAAAAATTCATAAATTTCAGCAGAATCACCCGAATCAACCAATTTTAGTGTTACCAAACGGGCTCATAGATGTACACTTAATAGCACTGATGAGATTAAGCAGTTATTCATAAATAAGCTGGTTTTTGAAAATCAAAATAAATAAGCCGCTCAAGATTCATGTTTACAAATAAGATAAATAAGCTGCTCAAGATTCATGTTTACGAATAAGATGAATATACATTTAATACCAGGCCACTAGGAGATTAATAAGGTAGAAGACTCTCGAGCTGAGTAATATTCATGAATATATAAAAAAAGTTGTTTGAAATATTGTGATCAAAATTCTAGACACCTCTTCATCATGAATATAAAAGTCTTACTTGTAATTCATCTCGCCGAATTAATCTCAATGACATTTCTTTCGTGTGTAGCAAAGAAGAAATACTAAGAACAAAAGGAATTTTATCAATCCATGATCTAGAAGATTGGTCTAGTATTAATAACAATCTAAAAGATAGAATGTTCGATATAGGACTTGAATAATTGTAAACTATCGAACTATCTAAGACCTAAAAAATATATCACATTTTTTTATTTTTTATTAATTATATTACTAATTTTTTATTATATTTTTCTTCTCAAAAAGTTTATTAGTTTAACAAGATTAAATGATATATATTTTTTTAAATTAAAAAAGATAAAAATTCATGATATTTTATATCTTACTCGTAAGTCTTCTCTCCGAACTACATTCATTAATATGTATTCCATGATCGAGTAGATAAGTAAAAAATAGCGATCAACAACAATGACTTATGATTATGATACGAAACTGTATTTTACTTTAAAATTTAATTTTATAGACAACTTTCATTAAATTTAAGAATCATATTAAATTTAATTTAACAAATATTAACGAGAGGGAGTAAACAAGGAGAATAATAAAAACTCAGAGGTTAAGTAATTAATATTGGAAAATGCAAGGTTGCATTAATAATTTTGGCACAACCTTAGGGGGCTAATAATGATTTTCCCTAAAATCACAGTTTCATCCTAAAAAATAAATTTGATAGGAGGGTCACCTAAATACCTTATATATTATTATTGTATCTTGATATTTGACTGGTGTGGGATGTCCTCACATGTCGACACAAGAGTGCGGCTCTTTTGGGTAGACCAATCTTATAGTTTGTATGCTAGCTATTAAAGTTTACCATAATCTAATTACTCGTTAGAGTTTAAATGGCTCCGATTTAATGTCAAAATCAGAGTTTGTATCTTAAAAAGTCAATCTGATAGAATGAGTAGCCTGCAATCCTAAATTAACAGTATGTAAGTTTATGCAATATGTTTCGAGTAGGAAAGATAACATACGCTGAAATCTTTAGCCTAATATTAATTAGGATATGGTGGATGTTTTGAACTAGAAAAGTTCATATCATTTGATACTTATTACATCTAAATCTAATTGATAAAAAAAAATTACATCTAAATCTAATATAAGTCCCAATTATATATTTTCTTGCTTTACTAGTGTGTATATATATATATATATATATGAATTTCTCGCCATTATAATTTGTGTGTGAGGGTAAGTTATTATCAACTCACCTATGAAGTAAACAATATGGAAAGTGTTCGTTTATATATAGGTGGTGGATTGGATATCCAGTGAAGCTCGAATCATGACAATAGGACCAACAATTCCATCTATGTACTTGGACAAAAGGTTAGAGGCTGATAAAGACTATGGCATGAGCATGTTTAAGCCAAATAGTGAAGCTTGCACAAAATGGCTTGACTCTAGGGAAACCGCTTCGGTTGTTTACGTTTCTTTTGGGAGCTTAGCCTCCTTAGGAGAGAAACAAATGGATGAACTTTTTCATGGCTTGATTAAGAGCAATTGCCATTTCTTATGGGTAGTGAGAGCCTCAGAAGAAAGTAAGCTACCAAAGACTTTTTTGAGACCAGAAAAATCATTAGAGAAAGGTTTGATAGTGAATTGGAGCCCTCAACTAAGTGTTTTGTCTCATTCTGCCATTGGGTGCTTCATGACACACTGCGGGTGGAACTCGACGCTGGAAGCGTTGAGTTTGGGAGTACCATTGGTGGGCATGCCACAATGGACTGATCAACCTACCAATGCAAAGTACATAGCCGATGTTTGGCAAGTGGGAGTACGAGTTAGAGTTGGTGATGACGGAATTGTAAGAAGTGAAGAAATAGAAAGGTGCATAAGACATGTCATGGTTGGGAAGGAAAGTATCACTTTTAAGAGAAACGCTTTGAAGTGGAGAGATTTGGCTAAAGAGGCTGTTGATGAAGGAGGAACCACTGACAAAAACATTGATGAATTTCTCTCAAGCATGGATGCACTAGGCATTGGAAAAGAAGGCACTTGATTGATCAAATATAATATTATGCACATATTGTGTGTATGCATGCGTGTGTGCAATAATGCATACACATGGAGTAGTAATTTGATTTTTTTTTTGCGAGTGATTAAATTTAAATAATCTTATGCAATACATTTTTTTGCATGAAATATCAATAGCACATATGTGTGGAGTGGTATTTGAGTGTTTAATTGTGAGTAATTAAATTTCAATTATTGTAACACATTATATTTTTTGCATGAAATTTAATAAATATACATTTTCTTTGTTTGTAGTTAAAGCTATGAATTCTTGTAAAATCTAAGATAATGAGATTAAACTTTTAGTTACATTCAAAGACACAAATGATGTGTATGTACCTATTTAATGTTAATTTAGTGTGTATTATCTCAATAAGGAATTTCACTTTTAAAGTGCTTCATAGGTAAAATTTAAAATAACAATTCTAAAACATATCATATCACAACTTAGTATGAGGTTTAGAGTTGTAAATGAATCAAATTGTGCAAAATATCTATTCACACTACAAAATAACACACAATCGCCTCATCGATTTACCAACCCAAAGAGCTTATTTCCCATTCGAAACTACATTATACAATAGAAACTATCTGTAGAAAACTGCCCCTCCATCAACATTTACTACACGTTTTTTGTCTCGTAGTAATTACATGGAAATTTGTTTTCATGGAGAAAGTATCATCCAAATAATTCAAGTAATTGATTTCCTTCACTTTAAGGTACATTAAAATATAATTTTATACTCATTTCCTCACAGACAAATTGTAATTGTTAGCTGCATCTTGTAATACATTTTGAAATTGGTATACCATGTGTGACACTTCATTTAAATTTGACGATTCATAACTATTACGTGAGCCTGTCACCTATGGAAAGAAGTTTGTAGTGCTCATCAATGGACAACGGCTACACATATTCTCCAAAAATATCTTCAAGCATATCCAGCAATTTCCCACAAAATTAATAATTAAAAACTTATCTGTTTGAAATATAAAAAAAATCCAACAAATATAACAATTCTAACACATATTGTAACACCGCCCCCAAGTATTTGTACTTTACCGAATTATGTATTGAACTCTGGGAAATGAATAAATGCATTTTTTTCGTAATTGTAAATGTTTATCATTTCTTTTACGAGAATAGTAAAATTCACGTGGGGCCCACACCGGAAGTGGGGGGCCGCCCGATATTATCGGGACCACATATTATATTCATTTGGGTCAAGATGATATGTGTATAATGGTGGATAACCGGGTTGGGCCATAGAAGTTATGTGAGTAACCTTTTGGGCATATAAAGCCCATTTATCGGTACCGAAGTAATATCAGATAAAAAGCCATAATAAATTATGGAGACCATCAAATTAAAAGTTGGGGATGTACATTCATTCTCATAACCAATAATAATTGGAAGAATGATAGATATTTCATTTTACCCGATAAAACGAAATATAGTTAAAACAGTCCGGAAAATACAACTTTCGGGACCGAGTGTACACTTGGGGACACAAAGGGATGACCTCCCACATATGTGGGGGCCACCCCACGTATTTTGGTCTTGCAAAGAGCAAGAGGAGCCGCACAATACTGTGAAGGAGCAAGATGGAATTGATTGGAAGACCAATCAACAAAGGAAGTGGACCTCACCCATGTTATTATTGGGAGAAATGCCAAAAAGGCATTCTCAATCATCCCACCTCATACAGCTCGTCCATACTATCCTCATTGGTGAGAGAAGCTCTGAAAATACTCCATAGAAGCCTCCATACACGCACCTAAGCAAGGGGAGGAAGAAGGAAGGAAATAGAAGAAGAGAAAGGAGAGAAAAAGAAGGAAAACTTGTGGTTAATAAGGTAATGACTTCATTAACCCCATTTCTTATCTTTAATCCTATTACATACTCCTAGGATAGCTCTACACATGTAAAGGTGTAGAATGGGAGTTGGTGAGTTGGTCTAAACCCAAAACGAGCTTTGAGAGCAAAGTTGACGGGTTTGTCGGAAAATAACCTTTTAGAGGTTATTTGTGGTGATATGGGTTTTATGATGATAAAACCTTGTTATTAACTTGTATAAGGTGCTTCAAGGACTTTCACGGAGTTGAAAGAGTTGCCGGAGTTGTCACCGGAGTTCGTTGAAGTTCACCGGAGTTTCACCGGGGCTAAATCGGAAAGGCTAGAACTTCATAAGCTTCATTAAGGTGAGAAGACGGCTATATGCTTTATAACTTTTGATTGAGGCATGAGATTACCTAAAGTAATCAAGGATATGTTTTACGGAATGGTTAACGTTAATCAAGTATGGGCTTATGCCATGATTATATATAAAACAAAGTTGAAAGGCATGTTTGTATGTTTGGTGATTAAAAATGTGATAACTTATTATGTACAATGATCCAGGGGTCAAAAATGGTATTTTTGGATCAAGGACTTCAAGTAGAATGTGCATATAAAATTTCACGTTAATCGGACTTCGTTTGGGCGGTCAAACGGGCGTTGACCGCCGAGACAAGGGTGATACCCGACCGGGTAAGATGGATACCCGACCGGGTATTGATTAAATTCGGCTCCAGAAGCCACTGCCACACTAGACCCGACCGGGTAAGGTCAGGGACCCGACCGGGTCTCAAGTAAAGTCAGTTCCAGGGGCTTCTGCCCGGCCCTACCCGACCGGGTAAGGTGGATACCCGACCGGGTATTGGTTTATACTCAAAACGGGTAGCTTTTGAGTAGGATAACGTGGACCGATCAGGTGGGACCCGTCCACATTGGTTACTAAGGATTATTATATGACTATAGGACTAGGTATTGTCCATAGTTAAGTGAATGCAAGGTTAGCCATATCCAGGTTAGGGTTTGGTTAGAAATAAGGTTGAGGTTGAGTATCCTCGGGACGGTAAATGATCCTAAAACTCGGTGAGGTTGAGTATCCTCAGGACGGTAAACAATCCTAAAACTCGGTTGAGGTTGAGCATCCTCGGGACGGTAAATGATCCTAAAACTCGGTTGAGGTTGAGCATCCTCGGGACGGTAAATGATCCAAAAACTCGGTTGAGGTTGAGCATCCTCGGGACGGTAAATGATCCCAAAACTCGGATGGGGTTGAGTATCCCCGGGAGGGTTAACACTCCTGAAACTCGGTAGGATATTATGAAGGTAGAATGTAGCTCTTAAGCTAGGCATTCAGGAATGAAAGGGGAAAGGTTGGGTAAGTACCTTGTCTCTAAAAGACTCTTTTGTGAGAAAACGACCTACGGGTCAAGTATTTTACAAGTATATACAGTATGTATTATCTTGGGAATGGGGTGACAATGGTTACACCTATAAATATATGTATCATCCTATTTTTGGGTCTCGTGTCTGAGACATTAGTTATTCCTCATATAGCCTGCTTGTCACTAGTACTTCTATGGAGTACTGACCCCTTCGGGGGCCCTCACATTTTTCAGGTTGAGGCTAGAGTCCTGCCACCTGCACCTTTGCCCAGGGTGAACTCAAATAAGGAAGACGTGGTTCGTGCTTCCATTCTTATTTGAAATTATGAAATTGCTCATGGATATTTGAACGATGTTTTCTATCAAACTATTGAAGGGCCTGCGTGCTCGTGTTTGCCACGTGTGGCTAAATGTCAAACAGATTTTATTTCCGCATTTGTTTGATTTATATATTGATGTTGATTGTATGGGTTTACTAATCGGTTTGGCAATAGAATCTATCGGACGCCTTGTATGATTTGATAAGAATGAACTACGTTGTTCTTATTGGGTTGTACGGCGGTTGTCTACGTGGCACGGATGCGGTCCGGGGCGTGACAATTAAGTGGTATCAGAGCCATCGATTTCTAAACTACATAATTAACCTCTCAATATAGTATCATCAAAAGTTTTGAACAAAACCATGAGCAAAAGTTTTTTTGTACTTAAGGAACCGTTGGAAACCAAGTTATTGACCTCTTATTGTTAAGACGGTACCCTTAACAGTTTGTTGGCCATAATGTTGGACCAAGTGGTGTCTTTTGTACTATTCCGTCAATCGACATTGATACGAGTCTAACGGCTCATTCCAAATTTCTTTCAGAAATGGAGGGTAGACGCATGGCTACGAGGAATAACCCGAGAGGGCAAACTGCGGCAACGTCCGAAGGGGCTAGCCAGGTTGCATCTCGGGGCGCGAGAGGCGGTAGGAGAGGCCATGGAGGCCGTGGAGGCCGTGGAGGCCGGGGAGGTCATCGAGCTCAAACCGTGAGCGATGGCCATGATAGCTCGGTGCATGGAACTCACACCGAGGATTATGACTCTACCTACGTTCCCGAGACGGAACATGAGGAGACCCCATATGATGGGGGTGATACGTATACTGATGATGACAACGATGAGAGTGATGCCAAATTCGCCCAGATGGGTGAACTGTTTGAGTGGTATCAAAAAGAGAAGTTGAGGAGAGATCTTAGGCGCCAAGCTAGGCGTGCCTCTAGGGGGGCTTCAGGTCACGGAAGCCGGGGAGCATCAGTGGCTACACCTGTGGCGTCACAGGGAATGCATGGAGGAGGTTTTTGTGTAAGAATCTCCAAATACCTCAAGGAGGCTAGGGCCTTGGGGTGCAAGTCATTTGACGGCAAGGGTGATATATCGGTGGCTGCCGATTGGATAAAGAAGCTAAATGAGGCTGCTAGGGATATGCAGATCGGGCTTGATATAAAGCTGACAGTTGCTACCAGGTTACTGGAGGGAGTAGCCGCGGTATGGTGGGAAGGCGTGGAAGGAAAGTTCCACGGTGATACCACCTGGGAGAAATTTGAAGTAGAATTCTATAGTCAGTACTACTCAGAGTTCGAAAAGAACCAGAAGAGGAAGGAGTACATGACCCTGGTACAGGAGGAGGATTGCTCGGTGAGGCAACTGGAACAAAGGTTCCGGGACTTGGCACGATACATACCTGAGTACGCCATGGATGAGAACCGCATGGCTAATCACTTCTGGGATACCCTACAGTTGGATATCCGTGATAGGGCCACCTACAATCATCACATGACTTTCAGTGAGATTGTGGATCAAGGGCTACTTGGGGAAGCCAAGTGGAATGAAAGGAAGAAGAGAGACGCCGAAGAGGCGAAGAAAAGAAGATGGGGAAATTCTGGATCCCAAGACCATTCTCGGAAACATCACGCCGGGAATGGACGATCATTCAGGGCGCCGGAACCACCGGCAAAGAAGAGTAAGGGCCCAGGAGGGCAAGGGCATAGCTCGGGGAGCGTGAGGCCACCGAGGTGTCCAAACTGTAACAGGAATCACTCCGGGAAGTGCAATGAACCACCCCGGTGCTACAAGTGTGGTAGCACCAGTCACCTCAAACTCTCTTGCCCAATGTTGAGT